TTTAGATAATTCAGAGCTCAACAGGACAAAAACTGTCCAGACATAAATCAGGTTCTAGTGACACTAAAGCTGCCTCATCAGAGGCAGTAGCAGGAAGTGTGGCATGAATTTTATTCCTTATGAAAATTATTTTATCTATAAAGAATCTCATGAAGTCATCAGTACTTATATTTATAGGGATACATGGGTCAACAGAGATAAGACTTTAATTAGTCTAGCTATAGTACTGAACAGAAACCTGGGATTGTTTATATTCTCTTCTATTAAAGATGAATAATATACAGTTCTAGCTTTACGAAGGGCTTTCTTATRTGTTMGCAAGTTGTAATATTATCAACAAGACCATCTAAGTTACTGTTCTCTGTTACATTATTCTGTAAGACAGAGGAAAGATGGAAGAGATTCTTTGAATTTATGTTTTTTATGCTATGTGCTGCCGTCATAGGAGAGCAAGGGCTAGTTAGATAAGCAGAWTGATGTGGTGCGGATGAAAAGGAAAAATGAAAATAACACATTTACTAGATTGTTAACTTATCATTTGCAAGTTAATGTTGCCTTAATGGACAATAATTTTAATTATTAAAAGTGAACCTGTAAAACTGCTACATTTGCAATGCAGTTGAAAATTGGGTGCACCTAATTTTTGTGCATGAGTGCAACCAATGAAAAAAAGTCAGTCTAGATCCTTGCTGTGGAGGAGCGATGGGGTCAAGGACGTATGTGGGAAGAGCTATTTTTGCTGAAAATGTGAACACAGTGCATCGGTTGTTTATTTTCTGGATTTTTTTTAGTTAATCAGTGACGTTTTTGCCATTTGCAGCACTGAATTTCTCAGCTGACTTCATATAGAGGTTCTCCTATAATTAATGTTTCAGTGTTTAAAGAGGAAGAGGATGAKGAGAAGGTTCAGTTAGAGAACCGAGAGCGACCTTTTCTCCGACCCGGACCCTCCACACTTCTGCATTTGCTCGAAACGAGGAGGAAGTGGGAGAGCTGACTTCCTGTTGCCGAAACAAGTAGGCGGGGGCATGGAGAYGGAGGGCCCGCTGCTTGCTGTACCATCCATGCTTCACCCAGAATCCCTTGCGCGAATTRGAGTCTCAGAAAGGCAGGAAGTGTGACCCAGGCTTGATAACAGCGGGGGAAGCTATTTCTGCAAATGGATAGCAGAGAGCAGACAAGGAGGTGTCTGTTCTATTTCCTGTTGGTTGTTTTGTCAGATGTGAGCAGCTGAATGTGGCTTTATGTGTCAAAATGAACTATTTGTGCTCTGAGGACACACCAACGCAGCAGCATCTACACCTACATCTACAAGAAGACATGCCGCTAAAATCTCCTCTTTATTATCCAGGAGTTTTGTAATATTCCTGTTTTCCTGGAGGAAAGAGCTTGTTTTGGTCCTGATATTCAGCTTTCAGAGATCGAGAGGCTACTTCTGACGCCACATTTGATAAAAACCTGATGTGGAATTTTGGTCCCCGCCGCCTCCTTCCTTTCTTTTTTTCCCCCCGTTCTTTTTTCTGGGATGCCAAATAAGGCAACATGTGCTGAAATTTGAGGCCTACGTTTCAGGCCGTTCCTCTCTGACTGAGAGAATGACAGAAAAGGAAAGAAAAAACTGTGACGCTCATCTGTTTGCCTCGCTGACTCGCTCTCCTTTTCTTACTATGAAATGCATGACATCACCTCAGTTCTCTCACCTCTGTTTTTTTTTAAATCTTCCTGCCCTTTTTTTTTTGTTCACATGTTTGCTGTTATGTAACTCTGTCAAAGCAGCCAGATTGTGAACCTTTACATCACGTGTTCCCCTTTTTTCACCCCTGGCCACAGCTGCTGTGTCTCACAGACTGTCAGTATCAGACTGTACACAATTTACCCAAAAGTCCATGCCCTTATTCTGTTATGTTTAGACAAAGGCTTAAAACAGGCCTTTATTTCTTAACAACAGGTCTGAAGGCTCACACCACAAATTTTGGTTTTAAGTAGGAAAAAATTTACTCATACTTACAAAATGGCACAAACACACTTCATGTTATCCCTCATTTTTAAAGCTGATTAAATTAAAAGCTTATTTCTTGAAGGAATGCATATCACCCACTGACCTGCACACCATAGTTTCAAATGTGCAGTCTGTTAGTGCTTGGACCGTGTGGTGTCAATATCTGTAAAATTGTTCAGATTAAACCCATTTTTGTGTTGGTTGAAGTTAGGTGAGGTGGCCATCTTGGATCGGGTCGACTAGTTGTAGATGTGCATTTACTGATTCAGAATGTTTGCTATCAGACAAACAGGGTTGACTCCTAAAGTTAGGAGTCAGTGCTCAGAGACACCAGACCAAATTCTGGTTCACGATTTGGAAAATGGTCTGAGTTTGAGCTGTTCCCTTGGTTGTGGCAGCCATCTTGAATCAGGTTGACTCTAAAAGTTCGTCAATTCCCGATGGACATCCCGTGGTTATTTTCTGAGCATTTCATTAAAAACGTTGCAGTGTTTCACAAGATATTTAACTAAAAGACAGAGAAATATGCACACATACATGGGTACTTCATGAGGGAGGCAATAATTATGTTTTTAATATTTTTGGCCCATTAGGTTTGTTCTACTGCTGGATTTACTCAAAACAAGGCTCAAATCTAGATTGAGCAGATGCTCGCCAACTTCCTGTAAAGTGCTACTTCCTAAAAACTRTGCAGCGGCGCACAGAGGGTGTTTTTCTTCCTTTTATGTTCCYCGTTTGAAAATGAGCCAACGTGGTGGCTCAAAGTGAGGAAGTGAGATGGAGTGTTGTGGTTCACTTCATATCAACAAATAGCTCCCAGTTCAAAGCTGAGTGTGTGTGTGGGGGGGGGGGATTAAAAAGAGTCCCACCTGACTTTGGTCTTCAGATGTTCCCACTCTGTGTACATTGGTTTTAGTGTCGCAGCGTCATCTTAAGAGTGACCGCTACCTGTCCCRGTCACGTACCACGAAGCTGCAGGCTTGTTGAGCCTGTATGTCTGCAAATTTTCACGTCATTTGCTTAAACTCTTCGCTGCAAGCCTGAATTAATTAGACACGTATCTCACTAAATGTGCTTTGTGTTATCTCTTCGCACTCAGGTGACGATGACGAGGACAAATTGTAAAAAATTAAGCAAGAGTCTCTCTGGGCTGAGAGTGACGGTGGGTTTGTTTAGACTTGTTGTCAGGAGCGGAGGCCACAGCGGTGCTCCAAGTTAAATGATTACCCGCTCTAACACAAAAGGTTCCGACCCTAAGGCCTCTATTATTCTATGGCAAGTATTCAATGGATTTCTATTATTTGCATTTGAAAAACAAACAGCCAAGAATAGAGCACACGGATTCACCCTACAACACTGTCATGTTCATGCCWCACCAGTAGGTGGCGATAACAGMRACGTTAATGACACAAAAATTAGCATTGCTTGTGATTTTTTTAAAAATACAAGTGGCTAAGTGTTTATTTTGACAATGTTTACTTTCTGTAAACAAACTTTTCAGCACACAAACAAAGTTGAATAACAACAGAGTCGGGATAATATYATTAGATGCAGGAAAAACTAAAGCAGCATCTTTGTTATTATTTTCTGCTCACGCTCAGTGCACAAAGGAAACATTATGCCTCCTGTTTGCTTCAGATCTGGGGTTGATGTCATACACAACCTTCAKTTGTTAGTTAGAAGGTTTTCTGTTTGAATGACCAGACCAGGCCAGATGTTATTAGCAATACAAGCAGATAGTTTATATCTCTGCATTTTAACCAATAAAACACAACACGTTTTCCTGTAGAGGATGTATAATTCCATCTCCGTTAAAAAGAAACAARCTAAAAAGGGTAATTACTTTGTGTCCATGCAGTACTTGCAGTGCATTAATCATAAACTAATGCAATAATTATATAACAATCATAAATGACCAGTTTGATTTTATGATTYTAAATAATGTGAATTTAAAGATTAGAAATGTCCACAGTTCTGTTAGAAACAAACAAAATGAAAAGGCAAATAAAAACTATGAAATGATCCCTTGTGTCTGAAAGCATCTAAAACAACCAACAAAATGTTGGTCTTACAAAGAAATAATCACCTTGAACCACAACTGAGYTCTTTTATTGGCTTCAACCAAGCAGGAAGTGACAGAAGCATTTCAGTAAAGTGGTTTTAAATAGTTTCCTGAATAAAACTCACTATGTAAAGTCCATATGAACTTAATACAAATGCTCAATAACTATAAACTTTACATTTCTCCTCAGCTGAAGTTTTTTTCATTGTTAGATTATACTTGTATTCATCTAAGTGCTAGAAACATTTAGGTTGCTGTAACTGTTTTTTATAGTGATATGAGCAACAATCAGTGAGTAGAACCTTTATTTGTTCTGTTACCTCAGTATTTAACAGGCTCATGTTCTTAGTAGTTGTTCAAATACAGTAGGTGATAAGAAAAAGATTAAACATACTTTATTGTCCCGTAGTAAAACGTGTCATAAACTAGTAATGGATAAAACCAAAAGTCACCTTTATATTCACCTATTGTACGAAAACAAACAACAAAAACCTGTTAGTCACACAGTCTGCTGAGCAAGTTAACTCCAGAATCTGAAAATCACTGCTTTGTTTTCATGTATTTAAAATCAATTAAAAGGGAAGTAATTATGTAAATAGAGCTTTTTTTTAAATAAAAACAAAAAAGCTTGTAAGAATTTCCACCATTTTTGTACCTCATTATCACACAGTCAAAAGGTAAACGTGGTTTTGCGTTTGTGTATTTGTCTGTTATTAAAATATCTCATGAACCATGGGAGGAATTTTAATAGAACTTCAATGAAAGTATTATTTGAATCTATAACTAGTTACCTTTCAGAGTCGGTCCAATTCAACATTAGCCAAAACAAATATGGCTTGTAATCAGTGGGTTTTGTGATTCCTAACGTGCTTTTAGCTCTAACGTGTCTTGCAGTGTGAGATCACACAACATTTCAAGGTTTGACCAAAACACCATCATTCCTCATAATAACATGGTCTTAGTTTAAAGCTTTATGAAAGGCAAGATAGTCATTTCCTCAAGGAGTGCTACGCCTTTAATTTATCTTGCTTTTTTTCCCTTATTGTGGTTTAAATGAAATTGTGCGTGTTTGTGTGTGTGTGTGTGTGTGTGTGTGTGTGTGTGTGTGTGCATTCCTTTATTGATTACTTAAAGGTGGAGAGAGACAAGCTGTGACTCCCGCTCTCCGTTGGCCGTTGATGTTTTCGCCACGTGACCAATCAGGACTGTGTGTGTGCACAAACACGAGGGAAAACTAAAAAAAAAAAAAAATGCTTACAGCCTTCTCTTCCCTTGTCTTTATTTCTCATACTGAGCTTTTTTCTTTCACATCCATTATTTTGGTGACACAGGTCTGATTTCTCAAGGAATCATCAGACGACAGAGTTGGTGATCGGGCGCCGGGTGGAGGAACGGAGGATGTAGGAGGAATGTGTTTTGGTAAATTGGCAGTGGGGGTGAGGGGAGCAGCGACATGGGGGAGCAGAGGAGAAGCTGAAGAGCAGGAAATGAAGGAGAAAGAAACGATGGAATGCGGTGGAAAGGCAGTAGAGTTAAGAGCTCTCCACACAAACACACACACTCACACACACCACAGGCCCAAAGAATCTTAACTGTGGGAGATCTGGAATTCAAACTCAATCAGCCAACAGAAAAGACCAGAGAGGCTACAGAAACATGTAAAAGAGGCCAGTACATGTGTCTGTTCTTTTAATTTGATAAAAAAAATGCTTCAATTTTGCAGAAAGGTCCTGAAACACAAGAGGTGAAACATCGTCTCGCATGAGAAACAATATGATCAGACAACAGCAGAAATGTCTCTATAATCCAGCTCATAAYGAACTGACATAAAATGTGTTCTGTCATAAAACTTTATAGCCTGTTTTATCTGAGGGAGAAGTAYGCTGGACAAAATACTTTTGTTGCACCGGKGGTTTTAAAACGAGGCACYGCCCTTTCAGACAAAATCTGCYTTTATCATAGCAGGCTATTGACAATCARAACTATAGATATTTAGATTTAGAATTAAATGGGTAAAGGATCAATTAACCCTGACAGTCCTGTTAGCATAATATCTCATCAACTAGTTACAGAAATTACTGAAAATCTCAAAAATCAATCACTGGATGCAATGATGAACTTTTGAAGTTGATCTAATTCAAGAAGGCTGCCAAAGCTAATAAACCTTGAGACACACAAATGGCTGTAATTCACTAAATTACACAGATATTTAGATATTTAGAGTGGTATTACACAGATATTTAGATATTTAGAGTGGTATTACACAGATATTTAGATATTTAGAGTGGTAGTTGCTGAGAGTCATCCCCAACACATACTCTTGCTTGTAATCACACAGTTTTCAAGATTTGACCACATCTAAAAAAATATAACACTTTGTTACTTTCTTAATTTAAAACTTTGGCATTAAACACTTGTCCTGAAATTYTAAAAGTTGACCATTGTTTTCATTAAAACCAGCTCATTCTCCAGCCTGACTTTACATACACTGATGTTTGATATTTTAGCTTCTAGCTAGCCTACTGCTGCTGTTAGCTTTGAGCTACTCTTTCTTTTGATACTTTTAGCCAGCCTTTGTACTTTTTGTTGCGATGCTATTTTATCTTTTAGTTTAGTCTTTTGATGTTTAGCTAGCCCTTGTTTTCTTTGAGGTTTTAGTTGTTCTGCTTCTCTTAGCTTGCATGGATTCAACAAGCACAGCAGAATGTTATTTATTTGCCACAATCAACATTGAAAAAACACTAATATTTCCAGAGATAGTTTACATGAAAACAGGGCCTAAAACATAAAACTCTGACCTCACTGCAAATGAAAAGCTCTTGAAGAAATGCACATTGCCCTCTATTTTTCATGCCATTGTTTCAGACTTTAGGATAATAGCTGTAAGTTGGCTAATGTTAATTAGCTGTGGCGACCATCTTCAATGGGCCTGACTTCAAAGGTTCATCAGTTCTTGATGTACATTTAATGATTACTTCCTGAGAAGTTCATTAAAATCCACCCAGTGGTTTGTAAGATATTTTTCTAACAGACAAATAGTGATGACCGTAAAACGTTAATGGYAAAATTTTAAATGTGAGTTTTGCACCATCTGTCGGTGCTCCAAATATGTGTTGGGAATGTTTGGTACCACACCACAGTTTAGTTAAATTTTTTTGTGAAACTAGCTGAGTTAGTTTCTAAAGATCAGTTGGCTATGGCAGCCATGTTGAGTCATGTCCAGTTGGTGTGGGACAACTGGGAGCAACAGGAGGATGTGGTTATTTGTTATTATGGGAGCCCCCACTGGTGCTGGATTTCCCACAAGGCTAATCTTTTGTCCAGCTGCTGAGCGTGCGTGTGTGTCTGTGTGTGTGTACTTGTTTCCGCTACAGAGTGAGGACCACTTGCAAAATAGTTACTATCAAAGTGAGGTCTTTGATGTAAAGTGAGGACCTTGTACCAGTCCTCACTTTATTTGCAGCTCTACTGCTCTTTACTAGTTAGGTTTCGAGGTGTGGTGTGAATTAAGTTTTGATTAAGTTTAGGGTTAACTATTGACCAGTAATGGTTAGGKTTAAGGAAAATGTCTGGGTTAGGCATGAATGCAGTTACAAAAATGAATGCAAGTCAATACAAAGTGCTCAGTTTGTTACCAATACAAGGATATGTGTCAGTGTGTGTGTGTTTGTTTCTGGTGACATTTGGGGCAATTTTAAGACAAAACGCCTACATTTGGGGACAAAAGTCGAGTCCCCATTTGGTTTAAATACCATTGG